CCCTAAAGCCTTAAAGCCCTATAAACCCTAAACCCCCAAACCCCTAGCCCCTAAACCCCTAAACCCGCAAACCCTAAACCCCGAAACCCCATCCTTGCATGCAGGCATCAGCACCACGAGCTCTGCAACCCCGACAGAGGCAGCATCATCGGGGAGGCAGCCGACAAATTCGAGTATTAAGCCTTAAGCTCTAAGATCCATCAATGAGCTGTGCTCGTGGTTGTTGCTATCGGTTCTTCCAGGCTTACGAGACAGATGTCAGCCCTCACCGTCGATTCCGATGGCCGGGGCGCGATCGAAGTTGGGCCTCTGGGTGTGAAAGATGCATCCGGCTGCACGAGAAGGGTCAAAGTGTTGTCGCCGGAGCAGCGTGCAACGATCGAGGCAGGGTTTAAGCTGCATCAAAAGCATTATCACGGATGTACAGATCTTATCATGCATGCTGGTCGATGATCGGTCTGGAGGCCATGACCCACCCAAGCGAGATGGATCCAGCCGAGCGAAAGCGTCAGAACGAAGCTCTCAGACGCAAGTTGTTAAGCCGAGGCCGATCGGGTTTCTGTCACTCAACATAGACCAACTAATTGATCACCAACAATCGGAGGTCTCAAGCCGGGCCTGCTTGAGAAGTACCAGAGCTGCACCAGCGCGCAGCAGAAGTCAGCACCTCAATCGGGCCGTATCGCAACACAAAACCCCAATTGGATCACCCTGCAGGTTCGAATTCTTGAAAGCTTTCGTATTGGATCCCGATATGGAGAATGTGGAAGTCGAAGCTTGCTTCAAAGAGTGACTTCGCTAGCATTCTGCACCGCAGACTGAATAGCATCATTGATGTTCGTTATCCAAGGCTTGCCGAACGGAAGACATCGGACGTCTACGTTGAACTTCCATTGGAAGAATTGAGAAGAACCTATACCACGGAAGCTCAGAAAAAATTCCTTGAGGGGACTATCCTGCAGAAGCAGCAAGTATGCCCGCACCCACAGGACTGCTGCAGCTTCACATCCTACGCATGCTCAAGCTTAAACCTGCAATGTGATCGAGGACCCTGGCAATGCCGAGATGCGCCTCTACCGTGTCTACCAGACTGGACTGGACAAAAGCCCCTAGGCTCAAAAACCCCGACTCCTGATTTCTTGTAATATACGACAGCTCCTGCTGCACTTGAGGCTCGAATGTTTCGCGGCTTTCAACCAAGCTCAGTGGCAAGGGGCGGGTCGAGAAGAATGCCGCAGCCAGAAATGCTCTGGCAGAGTCCTTGGCTGCGAAGTGTGCAGACATGACGAAAAGCTTCAGTCAAAAGGATCAGAAGGCTCCAAAGACAAAAGCCCAGAAGGCCTTTGCATGTCACTTCCTATATGCGTCGCTATAGTGTCAAAGCATGATGCTTTTAGCGACAAACCCCAAACCCTAAACCCTACATCCCAAACCGTAAACCCTAAACCCTAAAACGAGTGCTCAGGATTTAGGGTTTAGGGTTTGGGGTTTACGGTTTAGTGTTTTTGGCTTGGGTTTAGGGCATAGTCCTATATAAGTCCTAGCCTAGAGCCCTACGGCCCTAAACTTCTTCAGTAGGCTACGAACCCTGACATCTCCACTTTGAGCCCCTAAGTCCTCAAAGGTCCGAAGAACAGCACATCATCCTATGTACTGCCAGATTGTGTGGTTGTCGTTTTGGCTTTGTAAAGTAGAGCCTAGAGAACCTACAGTTTTTGAGCCTGCATCCTACTTTTTGAGGCTCCATATCCCAAAAAGCCTCATGTAGCATGGTTTTTGAGCACGAAAGCCGCACCATGTCACCCTAAATCGTAACCCCACCCCAACCCTGACTCTTAAACCTTAACCCCCCCCCAAACCCTAACCCTAAACCTGAACCCCTAAAAGCCCTACAGTTAATACCGCTATATTTTTGATAGTTGCTTACTGCTCTTGCTTTTCCGACTATATAGGCCCTCCATGTTGTTCCGGATGTATAGTTTCCTGAGAGGAATTGACGCACGACGAGAAGCAGCAGAAGGAGTTCGATCGAGATCTACAATCGTACCCTGACTTTGATATAGCCGTGCTCGAGTCGAGTGCTTTGTGCTGGATGTCTTGATAAATGCCTCTCAGGGTGCATGCGCTGGCCAGCAAAGCACGTGCAACGGCGAAGAGTATCATTGATGCAAAGATGCTGAACCAGGAGGTTTGACCGGCCTCCTTTTCGGATCACTTGTGCGGCTTCACATGTTCAGCTGCATGCAGGCTACCGTGCAAAGCTTGAAATCGGTCTATGGGAAGCTGATGGAGTTGCATGCAAGGCTTCTTGTTTGCATTCCCCATATAAGTCGAGCTATAGCCTGCACGGAATTGAGTTGGCTTTTGCTGCTAAAGGATCAACGAGATGATCTTTGAGGGCGAGAGCTTCTACAATTATGCGTATGCCCTGAATGTGGAGAAAGCGCGCTGTGAGGCACTGGACCATAGACCGCTGTGCTATAAAGTCCTAACAGCCCTAAACCCAAACTAAAAAACCAAAGCAAACCCCAAACCCCTTGGATCATGGATGCAGACCACAAATCCTTCATCCCCACAAGCACCACTACCCGGCGGCTGTGTGCTTCTAGTTAGTGAACCTTCCTTAAACCCAACCCTTACACCGCAATAGAAATCCCATCAAGCCCAAAATGACGAAGCCCGAAACCCGAACCCCCCTATATATATAAAGGCCCGAACTCTAAACTGGATCCACCAAAGTTGCAGGAGTTCGAGAAGGAAGTCACGTCAGCAGAAACCATCGTGAAGGCCCATGAGAATCGTCTCGTCCTCAGCAGGGTGCACTCACATGTACTGCTATCGGGTCGCATTCGTTCTTATACTTAAGGCGTCGCGGCCGAGAAGAGAAAGCGGGACAAGGAAAAGAAAGAGGAAGAGGAGAATGCCAAGAAAGCCAAGGCTGCCCAGGAGTGGGAAGAATGGGAGGGAGAGGTTGAAGATTGGGGAGAGGATATGGCGGATGATGATGCCTAGGCCTATTCTCCATAAAGCGAGCACCGTCTTGAGTTTTGAAGCAGGCTTGGTCGGATAGGATTGTCGGTCCATTGCTTGCTGCTTCCTAAAACATCCGGAGACTGCATGAGCTAGGCAAGTGTCGCAGTGTCATCGATGTCAGCCGATCGCGCCAGTGTCCTTGATTGAGGATCGAGTGTGGCGGGTTTTCAGTGTATATATGTTATTAGGGGTGTATTTTGGGAAGTGTAGACAGCAAGCTGCCTATTATGTGCCCCTATATAGTGCTCTACAACCCTAAACCCTGAACCCTAAACCCGAAAGCCCAGAGTCCCGACACAGCCCCTTTCAATTCCCTAGTCAACTGTATAAAATGCCTTGTCGAACGCCTTAAATGAAGTTTCAAAAAATCGAAAGCCCCAGATCCCCGAAACTGTAAAACCGAAAACCCCCTGACTAAGCCCTAAACCCACTAACGTCCTCAACGTCCCTATAAAGCCTTACACTTCACCCTAAACCCATAAACCCTGGCCCTAAACCCTAATTAAACCCATTCCTTGCAGTCGGCTGTAGGCTGTAGGAACCCACTCGCCTCACTTTCGCAGCCGTGCATTTTCCAAAGTGTTGCCACAGATCGATCCCGGTCGCAAGCGAGTGCATCCACGAAGACAGCGGATGCCGATAATGTTTGAGTCAGAGGTGCAGCCTGTTCAATGCTAAGCATTGCAGCAGGGCTTCGCAGGCATCAGTCTGGCATCATGCTGGTTGCCTGAAGATTCCAAGCTCCATCTGTTGAAACCCAAGCCACGAAATCATAACGGCCAACACTGAGTAATGGTTCTCATGTCCCACAAGTCGAAACATTCTACATACAAGTCTAATGATTTAAACTTTTATCACCATCACCATGACCATCATCATCATCATCATCATCCGATACCACGAGAAGCCGAGAATGCTAATTTATGTCATTCTCTTCCAGAGCATCACCAAGCAAGCAAAGGCATCTTCAGTGTTAAATCCAGCAACGATGCTGGGAGGGAGCATGTCCGCAAGCTGCCGCAGGCTGCTCTAGAGTCTAGACGACTTGTCGAAGTGCGCACTGCCGGTGCAAAGAGTGTGTGCCTATCTATTGTCGGTCCGAGAGTCATGCAGTTCGAGCAACTTCGGCGACAATGATGTGATTCGCCTGATCCGTGGCTTGAAGGCTTTAGTTCCTATACTCCACTCCGTTGAAGTCCTATATGTAGATCCTACACCCGAAAGGTTCATATAACTATCTAACCCAAAACCCAAGAAACCCCACATGAGCCCTGAAGCGCGAAGCCTGAACTTCGCATCCTATAGATCGTATGAGGTTATTGTGTGTCCAGCCGAATGGGCTATGCTCCCCACACCCACGAAACCCAACATTAGCCCGGAAGCGCGACGCCTGAACTTCGCAGCCTGCCTCTACTATCCGGTTCTGAAAGATCGTACGGTCGTATATCCCAAACCTCAATGTGCTAGCACCGAGAACCCTTGTGCGTCGGCATGGCGACAGCCGAATGGGCTACGCAGTTCATCAGGGATACAACCAATGAATTTTTCGAAATGCTGGGAAGTGGTGAGGCTAGACAGATCGAACATATGCATTTCCAAAATAGACATGTCATACTGCAGCAGGTCCCAATGGAAAGACTCAGATCTCTGCTGAGTCACGGTCTCAGCCATTCACATGTACTCGGTGATCCATCCTGATGCCGAGGTCGCTTTAACAATGTGCCGTACTATCTTGTACCGAGACCTGTAATGCAATTATTCGTGTTGCGGTTGCAAAGCTGCCGAACTGAACTTGAATTCAATTGTGGATCCAAGGCCAGATATTGCGCGGCTATTGGAGATTGTGCAAGCTGCTTCATCAGCTCGAGGTCTGGGAAATGCACTGACAAAGTGGATCAATGAGCAACCCTGGCGAATCTCGAACGCAATATGTGCCACGCTACCCAAGGGTCCCACGGTTGTATGCATGTTGCCTTATATGAGGGAAAGTCCTACCTCGGAGTTATTCGATGACAGTGCCCATCGCTGCTTGGACTAGAACGTTGGTGCTTGTCGTTTAGGGTTTAGGGTTTAAGGGTTTAGGGGTTTATAGGGTTTAGGGTTTAGGGTTTACAAGGACCAATGTAATGCCGAAGACCAAACTCCGATGCATGGTAGACTAAAGATCTTCCATGTTTCAACCCTGAACTTTCCTATATGTATGATCCCATGCGAGCGTATTCAGCTGAGGAGCGCCTGGATATGCACGGCCAAACGATCCCAGAAACCATGGAGCATGAGATGCTGTTGCCTCACGAGGTTGTTGCGTCGCTTTATGCTTCTGGGCTCATGCACTTGCTGACGGGCGATGCTGATGAGTCCTGCCTTATGAATGATGTCTCATAGTCCTTTCGGTACCTCACTCCCCTGCAGCAGCAACAACCCCAGACGACCCAAACCAATCCTGGCTGATCGAACATGTGTGGTGTATGTGATTAGACTTGAAGACCCATAGTTGATGTAATCATGACTCTAGGATGCCCTGCACTACTGGCAGATGGAAAAGGAGAGTGCGTGGTTCCAAAGTCATCCCGTACTGTCCTCGTCTGAAGTGGAATTGCGCAAATGCATCCCTCTGCGCCTGTATGGGGACGGCGCGGAGGCATTCCGAAACCCAGCATGCATGTAAATTTAAAGTGTCTGCATGATGGTTTCAAGTGGTTCAGATATTCGAAAAGGCTTCAGCTAGGATTTTTGGAAATGAAGAAGTACCTTCCCTCTGCAAGAAAGCCAAAGTCTGCGGTCGGCCCGCTCGCGTCTGCATGATCTCATATATGGCTCTGCAAGCTGAGGGTCTCACAAGTTTGAGATCCTCGTGCTGCAGAGCGTTCTTGGGAAATCTTCAGCGACTTTGAACAACCGCTGGTTGTTTCTAGGCAGCATTACAAGAATAGCGGTCATGTAGGCCCATGTCAACCCGCATAGTTGCTGTGAGGCTCTCCTGTGCGAATGCTTCACTGCACACGTCGGCTGCTCGGAACAAGATCCTTGAAAAGCTTGCGTGGAGCTTCAATCTTCTTAGCTTGCCGGACGGCATATATTGATGTCACATTCCGAGACTCCACGTCTCAGTTCAGACAATCAATCCATCAATTTTAAAGTAATACATTGTTATGAGTGGGAGTCCTGCGATGGCATGTGTCTGGCTAGAATCCTAATTGTATACATATTTCACCGCCCGTGCATGTAATCGCAAATGTTCACCAAAACAATAATAAAGGCAGCACGAAGATCGCGGGAGACTACTGGTTTGTTCTGGATGGCGTGCAAGCCGACCAAGATTACCTCAAGATTCTCTTCGATTTACAGCGTACGTTTTCACGCCAGCAATGCTGCCACTTTTGCAAAGCAATACAATGGGTGCGAGCCGACATGCCGCCGACGGGGGACAACGACCCGGAACTGCTCTACACTCGCTGGGGGAGGACTGCTGCGCATCGCAACACGTGCCTCTTCTTGGTTTCTGTTGCGGGGGGTACGTAGAGTCATGGGTCTTCTTTGCAATGTTCTGCTGTCCGGAATAAATGTGGGGTATTCTGTTTGGTGCTCGGGGCTTGTGAATGCCAATGAGTTCGTCGCATTGAACGGAGCTACGCCACTCACCACTATCGTTGGTTTTGATCCTTGGCGTGCCTGGCCTGAATGTGATTGAAGTTGTTGTTCATGTGCTTCGCTTGTTAACTTTCAACAAAGATGTGTTATATACATATACATGTATGTATATGTATATGTATATGTAGATGTATTTGTATATATGTATGTATGTATGTATGTATGTATGTATGTATATACACAGATGTCTGTCGTGCATCTCGACGCAGTCTAAGGACTGTACCCAGACGTCATGCACATTCTCCACTTAGCTGTGATACCAGATGCGGTCGTTTCGATTTTCTTGGAATACACAGATGATGAGTCAATTTTCTCTGGAAGCAAACGTGATGATAGGTTGGAGGAGCTTTGGCAGCTCTACAGGTCTTGGTGCGAAGATGGCAGGATATCGGAACGTGCGCAGAGGAAGCTTTTCAGCACTGCCATCCTCAAGAACAATCAGTATGTCGAGATAAGTCAAAAAGTCATGAACGCCACAGCTTGCAGATACATGATTTTCTTCCTCGCCGTGTTGGGCGAGTGGGCACTTCAGAAGCTGGGGCCGCAGGCTAGCAACTTCCACTACTGGATTGCAGGAGTCTGCTGGGCGTTTGCTTCCATGGAGCGAATCATGTTGGAGGGCGGCCGATTCTTGAATCGATTTCAATCTGAACGCTTCTACAATGATTACCTCGTGATGCGAGGAGGCTACAATCATCTGGCGCAGCGCGCCTTGGGACTGCAGCTGCCAAGGTGGCACTGCAGGCCCAAACTACACCAATGGGAGCACGCAGTGTTGGACTACCTCCCGAGAAATCCACGTTATTGCTCAAACTTTTTGGGAGAAGACTTTATCAGACGCGCCAAGAATTTGGCGCTGAAGAGTCATGCCAATTGGATGTCGCGGCACGTGTTGCTGCGTTATGTGCTGCAGTTCTGCTTGGCATGGCGGGAGTGAAAACAGCTGAATGCGACAACTGTGCAGAGTACTGAGATCTGAATCGTTCATGCGCTTCTCTTTCTCTGAAGTCTCTCTCTCCCTGCTCCTTCCCGCTCCTCTCCAGAATAAATAAATAAATAGATGTGTGTGTGTATATATATATATTCATGCACGTACCTATACACAGTCTGTTACATAGTTACCACATGAACATGTATGTATTTTTTTGTATAAACATACATATACAGACACGACATGCACA